CCAGTCTTTACATCACAGGCCAAAGCCTGCAGGTGAAGCCCTGACCTTTTTCTTCCCCTCGATGTGTTTTGGGGACTGTGACAGAGTGGTCTCAGCGGGGATCAGTGCTCCTGCATGGGTGCTCAGGGCTGCAGCACCGAGCCACTGAGGGGCACAGGGGACACAGAGGAGCTGGGGATGCCCCTGGAAATGTTCAGGGCCGGGTTGGATGGGGCTTGGAGCAACCTGGGCTGGTGGAAGGTGTCCCTGCCTTGGCAGGGGGAGACTAGGTGAACTTTAAGTCCCTTCCAACCCAAACCACTCTACGATGATTTGATGATGATGATGATGATGATGACACCTGTGTGTCTCCACTGGGGGTCTGGGACCCCATCCCTTCATGAGACAGGACAAAAAGGACCAAGAGAAGCTGCTGCTGTCTCGGATGCACATTCTGACCTTACCATCCAGCCCAGCTGTACATTGCTCAGTGCCATTCCAAAACTCATGGCTGGGGACACAGGACAGGGACCTGCCAGGGTGGCTGTGTCCCTCCTGGGCGCTCCCCACTCCCCCTTTCCCCCCCAGCTTGGTGCAGGTGTCCCCACGCTCCCAAAGCCACCCCAGCCCTGGTGACAAGGCAGCCCTCCTGCTCGGTGCTGTGCCGGCAGGATGAGGAAGAGCCAAACTTAATTTATTCCGTGCTGCATTTCCATGCCAAATGAGTCAGAGCACCGGCCTCTCTGAGCCTTTGTTTTGCTTGGCTGCCTGCACCGCTTTCGCTTGGTGTTTGTTCAGTGCTGAGTCCCTTGATGGCACTTGGGCTCAAAGCAGCGAGTGCAGCAGGAAAAGTGCAGCACTTCCCTGCTGGGACAGGAGCTTTCCCATCCTTTGGCATCGGCAGTGATGCACTTGTTTTATTCTGTTTCTTTCTCGCAGTTTGAGGAGCCCTGAGCTTGGTCCTTTGAGCCACCACCTCCCACCAGAGCCATCTAAAGCCACCGAGGCTGGCAGGGGCTGCGGGATGGGGCCGGAGCAGCCGCGCTGGCTGCTGATTTCAGAGCAAAACCAGCCCCAAACGGAGCTGGGGGAGGTTTCGGCCGGCCCAGGACCAGCTAGGAACGAGCACGGCCGCATTCCTGCGCACGTGGGAGCCGCCAGGAGGAAGCGGCACACGGAGGTGTTTCAGTGCCCTGCTTTCCTGCCGTGCGAGCAGCAGCTCCCTTCCCACCCCGAACCCCTGCCGTGCGGGCCGCCAGCTCAGCTGGGCCCTCCAGGGGCTGTCAAAACCTCCCCACCCAGAAAATAAATGAGATTTTGGCTCATCTTCTGCTGTTTGTGTTCCATCGAGCTTTTGGAGGAGATTTCCAAGTTGTTTTGCCTCAACCCCCCTCCATCAGAAGTGAAATCTGAAAATTCCTCATTGAGGAACATTGCTGAACAGCTGCCAGGGCTGATCACCCCCATGCCGGGCCCCTCTGCTCTGATGGGCCCCCAAAACCCTTGGCAGTGCCACGGTGCCTTTTGGGGCCCTTGGGGAAGGGGATGCCACCACCCCACTGCTGGCATGACCCACCCAGCCCTGGTGCCATCCTGAACTACAATGGCTGTGTGGGACGGTGGGGCACAGCGGGGCGTGCCCAGGTGTCAGCAGGGACTGAGAGCCCCGAGCTGGTGCCCATCCTGTGCCCTGGGCAGCGGGGTCAGCCTCGGCCGGGAGCCGGGGCTGGCACAGGGTGGAGCAGGGTGTGGGATGCCAGAGAAGGGCTTGCCAGGAAAATGTCATCTCGTTGCATAAAACGTGCTCCTCTCCCTCTCCCCTCCCGCTCCCCTCCCACCGCAGCAGCTTCAGCTCAAGAGATTCTTAGCCAGGTTAAGTCAATATTGCCACATTGCTGCCTCTGTCGAGGTGCTCGGCCCCGTGGAAGGAGCTCCGTGGGTGTTTTGAGGGCTGGAAAGGAGCCAGGGGAACACATCTGGGTGGGTGCAGCACCCTGGGCTCAGCATCCTCCCACGAGCCCCCGTGGGGCCACACCCGGGGCAGCTCCCAGGGCAGGGCCCCCGGCTTGCCCAGGCTCAGGAGGCTCCAGGGAGCCGGGGGCACCGGGGCCGGGTACCTGCACACCGGCACGGGGTGTGCCCGGCCTGCCAGCGGCAGCAGCGGGAGGGCACGGAGCACAGCAGGGAGCAGCGGCAGCGCTAAAGCCACCAAAAGGCTCATTTGCAAAATAAACGCTGCAAAACCAAGCCTGGCAGAGCCCTGCCGAGGAGGGAACCTCAGCACGGGCTGTGCGGTGCTCTGGGCAGGCACCAGAGCCTGAAGAAGAGCTGCCAGCACCCCCAAACCACAGGCCCCCGGGTCCCCAAAACCACCCTGTGTACAGAGGATTGTGCAGTGCCTCTGATCCCAAGCCAAGGCAAAGGCAGAATACCTGGGCAGTTTACATAAGACAGAGTTTTCCACTACACTGGAGTTTCTCTCCGCCTGGTGTTTCACCCAGCAGCTGCAATTTTGCTGCTCTCAAGGGCATTTGCACACAAAAATGAGCCACACCAGAGATGTGGGGAGATTAGGAGGATTAAGGCTGCAGAACTGGCGCAGGAGGAGATGGAAGGCAAACCCCTCTGGTAGGCAGAGGCAGCTCATCCCTAAACCTCTGCTCACCTTCGCTCAGGGTTAAGCAGGGGGGCTCTGGGGTGGTTCTGGAAGCTTTAAGAGCAGCTGGTCCTTTAAACATCCAGAACATGTTGCTGCTAGAGACGGGGGGATCCCAAAGCACAAAAACCAGAAAGTGTTTCTAGTGCTGAGTAAAGACGTGCAGGATTTCACGCAGTGAAACAAAAGCAGTGGGCCGGGTTTGTCCCTGCTCAGCTGCCCTCCGTGGGGCTGGGGGGAGGAGGGGATGCAGGTGCTGCCTGGGCAGGTGGCACGGGGATGCTCACAGCCTCCGAAAGGACCTCAGCACCTGCAGAACCCTCCTCCCAAAAAGCAGGGGAACACCGGTGTGCTCCTCAGCGAGGGCAGGAGCCTGGCACTGATGGCCATGGCAGGGAGTGTGCCAGGCTCCAGGCACTGCCAGGGATCCCACGGGATAATGGGTTTGGGGATCAGATGAACCGTTCCTGCCCAGGGGATCCTCACGATCTATTCTGAAGTGAGAATGGAAGCTCCATGGAGACCAAGTCAGCCCCTCAGCTGTGGTTCAGATGGAGCTGGGGCCATGGCTGGCAGCAGGGAGAGCCCAGAGATGGCCCCGGCCAGGCCAGGGTGAGGCCCAGCCCCGGCTCTGGCTCCAGCCTCGCACCTCCACGCCCAGCAGTGCCCGAGTGACAGCCCTGGCACTCAATCCCAGCAGGACCCTGCCATCCCCACCCCCAGCTGACCCACCTCAGCACAGCCCTGGGCTCCGGGAGCGTTTTAAACCCATCCCCAGTGGCCAAGGGCTCGAAGGTGCTTGGCTGGATGAGGCCACGGGCACACCAAGTGTGCTGTGTGTGGGGTGACAGCCGGCCCGGGGGGCTCAGGGCTCGTGGGGCACGGGCTGTGGCTTCCTCACAGAGCCCGCAGCAGGCTCAGCTCCTGCCGGGACACGGCCTCACCCCAAAGGAGCCGGGACACAAACCACGGCAAACTGGGCTGGAGGGACCCCCACAAACACACACGGAGAAGCACAGACAGACACACAGACACACAGACAGACAGACACAAACCCACACTTGCCTCGCGCCGCTCCTCGCCGCAGCCTCCCCGGCAGTGCCCGGCCGGCCGCAGTGCCCGGGGCTCTTTAAGGGCTCCCGCAGCGCGGGGATCCGGCACACGCCGGGATCGGGATCAATAGGTCACTGCGTGCACTGACTTGCCCCAGAACGAAAATCAGCAGAGGATTTGGGGCTGGTGGGGAAGCTACAATCAGGGCTTTAATCCCGCATGGGCACAAAATCCCGGGATAAAAAGGCCAGAGCTGGTCCTAATTGCTGACTGCTGTGTGCATGTGTGAGCAAAACCTCTTAGGCTGCGGGGGCCTGGGGGAGGCATCCCGGTGCCTCATGGAGTCCTTGAGGTCGGAGCAGATCTGTAAGATCACCACGTCCAACCACTCCCCCAGCACCATCTATGTGCCACTAACCCTGTCCCCAAGTGCCACATCCCCACGGCTTTTGAATCCCCCCAGGGATGGGGACGCCACCACATCCCCGGGCAGCTGTGCCAGGGCCTGACCACCCTGTCCGTGAAGGAATTTTCCCAATATCCAATGTAAACCTGCATCCCCAGGCAGAATCATGGAGTTGTAATTGCTGGAAAACCCTCGAAGTACATCGAGTGCACCCATTCCCTCAGCACTGACAAGGCCACCCCTGAACCGTGTCCCCAAGTGCCACATCCATGTGGCTTTTAAATCCCTTCAGGAACACTGCCTGGGCAGCTGTGCCAGTGCCTGACCACTTTTTGCATGAAGGAATTTCCCCAATATCCAGTCTAAACCTCCCCTGGCACAGCTTGGGGCCATTTCCCCTTGTCCTGTCCCTGTTCCCTGGGAGCACAGCCCGACCCCCCTGGCTGTCCCCTCCTGTCAGGAGCTGTGCAGAGCCACAAGGTCCCCCCTGAGCCTCCTTTTCTGCAGGCTGAGCCCCTTTCCCAGCTCCCTGAGCCCCTCCTGGTGCTCTGTTCCCTTCCCTGGCCACGCTCCAGCCCCTCCGTGTCTGTCGTGTGAAAGGACTGGAGGTGTCCCGATGTCACTGGAAGGAGCAGGGACGCTCCGAGCGCCGCTCATCCCCAGACAGAGACGGCCCGGGAGGAGCCGCAGCCCCCGTGACGGCCCCGCTGACCAGGGACCGCCGTGCCCGGCCCTGGGGGTGTCAGGCCGGCCCTGCACATCGGGGGCTCCAACCCTGCCGCGACCCTTCCCGGGCGCCCCAAAACCAGGGGGGGATGCTGCGGGCTGGGAGGGGCGGGGCGGGCAGCGGGGCAGGAGCGGGAGGAGGCAGGAGGAGGCAGGAGGAGGCAGAGGCGGTGCAGCCCCGTCCCGCCTCCCGGCGGGGCCCGGCCCGGTGGCGGCGCAGAGGCTGCGGGCGGCGGCGGGCACGGGCAGGAGGAGCGCGGCGGGCGCCGTGCGGGGACGCGATGCACTCGCTCTTCAGGAAACGCAACAAAGGGAAATACAGCCCCTCCGTGCAGAAGAAAAGGTGAGTGAGCCGGCCTCGGGCAGCCCCGCTCCTCCCGGGACGAGCAGAGCCCGGGGGTGGCACGGATCCCGTCCCGCAGCATCCCCCGCTCCGCGCCGGGGCTCGGCGGAGCTGATCCCCCCGAGGAGCGGGAACCCCCCCGAGGAGTGGGAACCCCCCCGAGGAGTGGGAACCCCCCCGAGGAGCGGGAATCCTCGAGGAATGGGAATCCCCCAGGTGCGGACACCCTCGAGTGTGAGAACCCCCGAGGTGTGGAACCGCGAAGTGTCGGCACCTCCCAAGGAGTGGGTGCCCCTGGAGGTGTGGGCACCACCGAGGTGTGGGCACCCTGAAGTGTGGGCACCCCCCGAGGAGTGGGCACTCCCGAGGTGAGGAGCCCTGGAGTGTGGCATGCTCGAGGTGCGGGCACCATCTGAGTGCTGGTGGAGCCCTGAGAGCCGAGTGGGAGCTCCGGTGTTTGCCCCCCCCGGGAAGTGGCAGCTCCTCCCCGAGCTGGGTCCGTCTCCTGCGCCGGCTGTGGGCACAGAGGTTGCGTCTCCCAGCTCCCCTCCCATCGCAGCAGCTCCGGCGAGCAGGTTCCTTCTCTTCTCAGCTGTGTGCTGGGTCACATTTTAGGGGAAAATAGTCTGGTTGTTCTCCACCTTCGCCCCTGTTCCCTGCGGACCGAGGTTTTAGTCCATCGTTTCCTCGGCTCCCTCCGACGGGGTGGGGACGCGTTTCGGTAGTACTGGTTGGTTAAAAAAAAAAAAAAAAAAAAGAAAGAAAAGGAAAAAAAAAAAAAAGAAAAGAAAAGCAGGGTGTTGAATGCACCCTGTGAAAGGTCACTGATAAAAGGGAAAAGGTGTAAAAATCCCTCCGCAGCAAGGCTCAGCCTCTCTGGGCTGGACGGTGGACAGTCCCCAGCCCCTGCCTGCACCGGGATGTTTTTCCACAGAGGTGGATGTTGGGGTTAACTCAGAAACGTGTCCTGTGTTTCCCAGAGGAGCTGCAGGGGCTCTGGAGCATGTGGCGTGCTCCAGGATTTTGAGTGATTCGAGGATTCATGATCCCAGCCCGTGGCTCTTCATCCCCTTCCATTCCTTCCACCGGCACCAGTCCTGGCTGGTGGAGTCCGAGCAGCCGCCCTCTCCCAAAAATCCTCCTTGGGGAAGGAAGCTGGGGAGCTGCTGCAGGGGCTTCGAGGGCCCGGAGAGGGACAGCCAGCCCAGAAGCGCCACATTTCCCAGGCAGGGGAGCCCTGGCGGCTCCGTGCCCGCGGGAGCGGGGCGGTGGCAGTGCCCGCTGCTGCCCTGGCACCGGGCATCGCTGAGCTCCCTCTCCCGGAGCCCCGGGCAAGGCTCCCCGGCAGCCCGGCTGGCTCGGCGGGGCCGCCCAGGCTCCCGAAGCCCGGGGCACGGCTCTGCTGCCAGACCTGCCCCGGGGAGGGCAGGCAGGACGAGGCGGGGGTGGCACGGAGCCCTCGGAGGCTCCGCACCTCCCTCGGGGGAAGGAAGGAAAGAAGGAAGGATGGTGCCGAGAGCCGGGCGCGTTCTGAGCTCCGGGGCAGTCTGGGCGGCTGCAGAGCGAGAACCCGCGGCGGGGCTGGCAGCTCGGACCGGGAGGATGCTGTGAAGCAGGAGGAGACAGAGCCGCACTGCGCGGTGCCCACCGGGGGCTGCGGCCAGCCCTGGGCACCCCGCGCTCCCTCCATCCGCCGGGATCGGCGCAGGAAGGAAGAAACTTCCTCACCGCCCTGCCTGCAGCCCAGCGGCCCTGGGCAGGTGCCAGAGCACCTCCGGAGGCTGCGGGCCAGGCCGAAACCTCTGCTTTTCTGGCTGCTGGTGGCTGAGGAAGCAGCGCGGGGCTGTGCCCCGGGCCACCCTCCCTCCCTCCCTCCCTCCCTGCGCCCCGGCTGTCCGTGCACACCTCGGGGAGAGCTGTGCTTATTAGCCCCAATTTGTTAATTCCTGCCTTGGAGTTTACAAACATCTGTGAATCCAGGGAACACTCCCACCGTGTGGAAACAGCCCCACCATCAAGATGGGGAAGCCGGTGCCCGACCGGTTGAACAACTCGCTGGAGGAGGATTGCGAAGAAGCGAGGAGCTGCTCCCCGGCCCCTGCTCCAGGCACTGCCAGGCTCCCGGGCGGCTCCCGCCCCGCTCTGCTGCCAGGAAAACACAGCAACACTCCCAAAAGGCAGCGCCCGCCCCCGCCGCCAGCAGGGACCGGGATTTCGCCACCGCGGAGCGCGGCCCCGGCCCGGGCAGGGCGCGGTGCCAGGGCGCTGCCTGACGGAGCCTTCAAAGCACCCAGGGACAGCCGAGAGCCCAGCACCGGTCTGGCAAGAGACAGGGGCACCGGAGCGTGTCCTCCAGCCCCGGGAGCCACGGCCACGGGCTCAGCCGGGGGAGGCAGGGGCTGCCCGGGGCGCATCGGCCGGCAGCAGGACAGAGCCCGGAGAGGAGCCGTGGGAGCCTCGGGGCTTCCTCAGCCTCGGGACAAAGCCTGCCCAGGAGGGGAACACCTCCATGAACAGCACTGGCACCCAAGCCAGGTGCTGCAACCTCCCCATGAACAACTCTTTGTGCCCTGGATGTGACAGCCACCCTGTCCCACCCCCAAAGTGGCCCTCAGGATCCAGCAGCACCAGGGGCCAGGTCTGCCCTTAGGAATACCTGCTGCAGCTCTGTGATCTGCCTGGCCTCGAGACCTCCAGGCTCAGTAGCCATCCCCATCCAGCCCTGGGCATCTCCCTGCCTTGGCTGGGGATCCTGGAGGATGATGGTGACATCTCTTTAGTCTCATGGACTTGATTGCTCTATTCTGCTCTCATCCCTGAGAGAGGAAAGGCCCTGGGAATTCAGCCGTGACCACTGCCTTGTCACATGGATGTGTGTCCCTGGAAGGGAAGGCACAAGCCTTGCACAGAGCCACAGCATGGGGAAAATCATCAACCTCCTTCCACACCACGTTCCTCAAACACTTGCCATGCTCAGAACACAGCAGGTTGGCTTCTTCTTCTTCTTCTGATAGTCCAGGCTTGGCAGGTAGAGAGCAGTGAGGGAGGTGCCCTCACTGAAGTGCCCAGGGCCAGGCTGGATGGAGCTTGGAGCTACCTGGGATAGTGAAAGGGGTCCCTGCCCATCTAATTCAAACCATTTGATAATTTTATTATAAAAAGCAGTTCAGCCTTCGCAGCTGCTGCAGAAACTCTCCCTCCTGCCAGCAGGAAAGTTTTCGGGGTCCTCGGGGTGAGAGCACCCACCCAGGAGAATTCCCAGCTCAGCAGTGTCGCTCCCCAGATAAGAGGGGTGCAGGCACTGGGAGAGCTCTGCCTGCAGGGCTGGCCCCCGTTTCCAGGGGCTGTTTGGAAGGGCTGCAGTCAGCAGGTGAGTCAGGAGCTGCTGAGGCTGAGGGCGGAGCGAGCCCCGGTTCTGCCCTCATTTCCATGCAGATTACAATGAAATATCACCATTGCTACGAGGGAAGATAAATACAGCTGGAACAGGCTGGGCTGAGCACAGCAGCCCTGCTGTCCAGCTACACCCTGACGTGGGCAGCTTGACAGGAGTCTGCTCGGAGTTTTCAGCCAGATCCTAATCTCTCCCAAACCTGAACTGCCGTAGCCAGAGCCCAGCCCTTGTGCTCTCTACCCTGCCACAGTTTCACTCCAGTGTCATTAAAAGCAGCAAGAGAAAATTTCATGCAGTGGGAGCTGTGGCTGGCGCAGCTTGAAGGACATTTATAGCTCTGTGCTGTGGCCTTCTGGAGGATTCATTCAGTTTAATTCCTCCAGCAGCAGGGCTGGCACGGGAGAGCTTTCTATGAAATCTCTGTAAATGGGCACTGAACGGGGATGGAAGTGAGAGCAGCAGTGGGTGGGCACTGCCTGCTCTGCTGATCCTCCCGTGGTGGGATCAGACCCCGTCCTCACCCAGCTCCCCTGGCTCTGGCCAAACCATCCTCCAGGAGAAGCCTCTGGGATGGGAAGGTTTCCTGCCAGGAGAGCAGTGTCCCTGAGCAGGACAGGATAATTCCCTGTCCCTTCCCATAACCCTCCCAGCAAGGATCAGGCTCATGGGACAAATCCCCAGCAGGAGCCTGGCCAGGAAACTCAGGCAGCTGGAGTGGTCAAAACTCAGGAGAGTCTGAGCATCCTCCCTTGGAGGGAGTAAGGAAACAGCCTCCTTGTTTGGAAAAAAGGAAACTTGAGAAATCAAAGGGATTTTCTACCACCTGCCAGCAAGCACAAGACCTTTGCACATCCTGGAGAAACTGATCTCGGGGAGGTTTGCTCCAAAACCTGCTCTTAGCAGTGAGGATGAAACCTAATGAGAAGAGAAAAAGAAAAAGGAATAGAGGAAAATTCAGGTTTTAGCAGCAAAGTTTTCACATTACAATAATTATCATCATATTTGTCTGTTGAGAACCTCTCTTAATAAAAATACCCCAACTAAAATACCAACAAAAATCACCAAAACCCTAAGAAAACAGAAGAAAGAAAAACCTGAACCCTAAAAATCCCCCCATAGCCTTCAGGAACACCTGAACCCCACTGAAAGCAAGGTCTTGAGGGCAGACTTGTGGTACATGGATGAAGAGCTGTCTGCCAGGGTGCAGCTGCTTCCTCCTGGTCCTTCAGTTGAGAGAAACCCCAACACCAGCTCCCATTCCCCACGGGAATGACCTGGGGTCCTTCACTGACAAAAATCAACTCTTGTGCTGAGCACAGCTTTCCATGAGAGATCATTTTTTCCTTCCTGACCAGAGAATGTAAAAGTTCTCCGGAAATGGCAAAGCCAGTTTTTCCAAGCTTTTATTTATTTTTTTCATCTCTCAAACAAAGCCTTATCTATTCCAGCAGAAGAGCTCTGCATTCCCCCCGTGCTGTGCCCTGGGCACCTTCGCTCCCGGCTCTGCTCAGTCTCGTGTGTGCTGCCCATCCCAGCTGGGCTCTGGCCAAATCCTGCCCTTCTCCCTCCCTGCCCAGCCTGCTCCATGCTCCAGCCACCCCCCAGCCTGCGTTTTGGCCCTGGCATCCCCTGCCAGCAGCTCTGCTCCAAAGCCTGGATGCATCCATGGCTCTTCCTGGCAGCTTCCCAAAGGAGCCACATCCCCTCAGTCCCATCCACACACTTTTCCTGGGACAGCCAAGGCTTCCTCACTGCTTTGCCCATCCATCTGTGCTTCTCCTGCACAGAATCATGGAATGGGTTGGGCTGTAAGGGAGCTTCAAGCTCTTCTCATCCCACCCCTGCCATGGCAGGGACACCTTCCACTATCCCAGGCTGTTCCAAGTCCTGCCCAGCCTGGCCTTGGGCACTGCCAGGGATCCAGGGGCAGCCACAGCTGCTCTGGGCACCCTGTGCCAGGGGCTGCCCACCCTTGCAGGGAAGAATCCCTTCCCAGTATCCCATCCAGCCCTGCCCTCTGGCAGTGGGAGCCATTCCTCCTTTTCCTGGCACTCCAGCATCTTCCTCCTCACAGCAGATGAAGCCAAACTCCTCCATCCCCTGGCTGGAGATCCCAGCCAGGCTTCAGCTTTCCCTGTTTGACATCCAGCTGGATGCAGGGACTGTGCTCCTCCTCTGGCTTATCCACACTGCCCCAGCTGTGGCAGGGACAGGTGGGTAATTAACAGGCCTGATAGTAATTAACAGTTCTCACATCAGTGATGTCCAAGCTGATTGATAAAGTGACACCAAAGTGGAGAAATAAACACACAAATAAGAGAGATCTCACGTGAGAGTTTCCCGTTCTCTCTTATTTCTGTTTATTCCTGCACTCTTGTTACCCCTGCACTGCAGCAGCACCGGGCTGTGGAGCACAGCTGAGCTCAGGGCAGCACAGGAGCAGCTCCCCAGCACTGCAGTTTGAGGTGCAGCTCCCATGGGAGCTTTTGTGAGAGTTCCCTGTCCCACAGCCTCAGCTGGTGACTCTCAGTTGAACCACAGAGGTTTTCAGGTGTGTCAGGAGAGCCCAGCCATGCCCACGTCACCTCCTGCACGCCCTTGCCTGCTCTGGGCAAGGCTGAATCTCTGTGCCCTGGTCACCCAGACACTGCAGCCTCTGCATCACCAGGCAAACCAACTCCAACATGGGGAATGGCCCTTCCCTGCCCTCCCCCAGCCCCTCGCCTGCTCCAGTGATGGAGCAGGGATGTCACTGTCCCCAGGTGCCAGGGGCTGGAGGGTGACTCTGCCCCAGCCCTGGGTTCTCAGAGTCATTGAGGGCAGGAGGGGGCTCCAGGGCCAGCACCCCCAGCTTGGGAAGGGGCTGGCAGGGCACAGGTGATGACAGGGATGAGGAGAGCTCGTGGCTCCAGCCTGAGAGAGGAGCAGAGGGAAGGGGACCAGGGGCTCACCCCCACCCAAAGTGGCTGGGCAGTGAGGGAGGGTCAGGGCTGGGTGCTGCCCTCGCTGCTTCCAGAACCTGAGATCAGTTTTGCTGATGCAAAGTGAGCAAAAGGCTGGGCTGAGGCTCCAGCTCAGCTCTCCAGGTCAGCAGCCTCAACCACAGCCATGCATCCAAAAAATCCCTGCTTTAGGTTTATTTCCTCCCTACAATTCAGAGGTTTCAGTCAAAACTAGAACTAGAAAAAGCTCAGACTTCTGCTGGGTTTTAGGATGGTGTTCCCATCCATGCTGAAACCCTGAAGTTTGGACTTCAGGAGTCACTGGACGTGCTGGAGTCACTGAGACCAAGGCAGGGCCAAGGACAGGAGCCAGCAGGAGCTTCCAGCTGTGCCCAGCTCAGTGCCAGCCCAGCTCCCGGCCCCACAGTGAGCAAAGCCAGCTCCCCCCTGCATGATGAACCTCTCACCTCCAAGCTCACGTGGCCTCCAGAGCACGGGTGGGAGGTGAGGGAGGCTCCTCGGTGGCCACAAGCTCTGCCAGGATGCAGGAGGTGCCAGCTCTGAGCAACCATCACCCGAAGAGACCCAAACACGTGCGGCACATTTCAGTCACCCGCTCCAAAGCACTGACTGCACCCGACTTCTGCCCTGCTTTCTGTGGGGTGGGGAAGGCTGGAAGAAACCCCAAAGTGGATTTTGAGGAGCTGCTTCTACCACTGGAGCCAGAGCCAGCCACCCACACCCCATGTCCCTGTGCACCTGCACCCTCCAGCTGTGATTATTGAGCACAGAATGAGAATCACCCCTGGAATTATTGCAACCATGACTCCCAACGACCCCTCCTTGTCTCCTCTGCCCAGGAATGCCCACTGGGTTCAGTGCTGCTGGTGCAGGAGGTGCCAGGCAGGCAGCAGGCACAGTGACAGGCACAAACCTCTGAGTACCATCCTGATGATGCAGCTTCTATAAAAAGAAAACAAGCAGTGTAAACCATGCCCATAGCAGAACTTCCCAGGGAAGTGTGAACTTTTCTGGAGCTGTTGGATGCCACAAGGCTCCCGCAGCCTGGGGCAGGTTTGAGGTAGGGAGGAACAAGCCCAGAGCTGGGGTTTGGGTTTGTTCTGCTGCACTGAAGCGACAGCACACGGGGCAGGCAGGAACAGGTCCTGAAATTCAGCACCAGAGTCCTGGGGGAGCTGCAGCACCAATTCTGGGGTCAGGTCTGGGCTGGGAACAGAGCTGGGGAACGGGCTGGAGCTCCAGGAGGGGCTCAGGGAGCTGGAAAGGGGCTCAGCCTGGAGAAAAGGAGGCTCAGGGGGGACCTTGTGGCTCTGCACAGCTCCTGACAGGAGGGGACAGCTGGGGGGGTTGGGCTCTGCTCCCAGAGAACTGGGACAGGACAAGGGGAAACGACCCCAAGCTGTGCCAGGGGAGGTTTAGATTGGATATTGGGAATATTCCTTCATGCCAAAGGTGGTCAGGCACTGGCACAGCTGCCTAGGCAGTGGTGGGGTCACTGTTCCTGAAGGGATTTAAAAGCCACATGGATGTGGCATTTGGGAACATGGGTTAGTGGTGGCCTTGTCAGTGCTGAGGGAATGGGTGGACTCGATGTACTTCGAGGGTTTTCCAGCCTTTACAATTCCATGATTCTGCCTGGGGATGCAGGAACCCTGTGCCATGAGCCAGCCCTGCTGGGATGCTGCTGCTCCCCCAGCCAGCCCCCCTGTCCTCTCCAGCTGCTCCAGCAGCAACTGACACTTCCAAGTGCCACATAAAGATTAGCTCTGCCACCACATAACGAGGTCATTAAGACTCGTATGAAGGTGGTTGGGACTGGATTGAGCCAGCCCAGGTGGCAAAGCAGCACAGCTGGGGTACCCCAGCCTTGCCAGCAGCCCCAGCTCCCTCTGGCTGCAGGGATTTGGGGGGCACACCCTGCTCCTGCTGCTGGTCAGGGGTGGGAGAGCTGTGGGCAGTGCCTGGCACACGCCCCTGGAGCTGGCCCTGGCATGCTGCAGCCTCTCCTTGCAGCCAAAGTGGCAGACACGAGACGAAATGTTTAAAATAACCCCAGCAATGCAGAGGCTGCGTCACGGGTTGTTCTGCCTCTGCTCCAGCTCCGCCGTCCCTGCACTTGGATGGGAACATTTGGGGAGGCCCTGCACCCTGCCAGCCCGGCCAGTGTCACCCTGGGAGCAAAACCAGCACTGCAAGAGATGCAACGTGTGTGCCCAGTGCCCATCCCTTTCCCGGGCTGAAGTGTGAATAACCCCGGCAGGGAGGGAAGCCCTGAGCGTGGCACGGAGGGGCAGGGCAGGGGCTGCCCAGGGGCAGCAGCCTCCAAGGGGCCACTTGCCCTGTGGGCACGGGGCCAGGGCCTCCCTGCTGCTCCAGCTCCACTTCTTCCCTTTTTTCCACTTTTTCCACACCAGACCCCCCTTCTCAGGCACAGGGTGGGATTGTTGGGGCCAGGAGCTGATGATCCTTGTGAGCCCCTTCCAGCTGGGGATACTCTGTGATTCTCTCCCTGTCCCTGCAAAGAACTGTTTTCTTTCCTGCTCCGAAGCCGAGGGAGGCTCAGGCATCGCTCCCGTTTCCAGCCATCCCCCACCCCCTCCTGGCCCACTGGCCGAGTATTTTGGAAGGAGCTGGAAGGCAGCAGTGAGTCACACACAGCTGCAGTGCCTGGCAGGCTGCGCTGGCCCCCGGCCACCCCCGGGGTCACGGCACCCCCGGGCACCCCGGGGGCTGTGGCTGCCTCTGTGGGGTGACGAGACCCCCCCTTCTCTCCCCAGCATCTCCAGCAAAGAGCTGACCGAGCTCATCGAGCGCCTGCAGAAAAATGCTGACCAGGTGGAGAAAAACATCGTGGAGACCGACTCCCGAATGCAAAATGTAAGCAAGGCACGGTCCCCACTCACAGGCTCTCCCCTCTGCCTCCTGCCCCAGCCCTGGGCACCTCCTGGGCTCTCCCTTCCTCTCCTAGGCAGGTGTGGGTGGCTGCCAGCCCTGCACTGGTACCTGGATTGTGATGATCTGCAGGGGTCATTTAAGGGTTATTGGGGTCCCTCCTGCTTGTGGGAAGAGGGTGGGAGGGTGTTCCAGGCAACAGGCCCCCCCAAATTCCCCCCTACCCAGGGGGCCCCTCTGCCTCCTGCCCCAGCCCTGGGCACCTCCTGGGCTCTCCCTTCCTCTCCTAGGCAGGTGTGGGTGGCTGCCAGCCCTGCACTGGTACCTGGATTGTGATGATCTGCAGGGGTCATTTAAGGGTTATTGGGGTCCCTCCTGCTTGTGGGAGGGTGTTCCAGGCAACAGGACCCCCCCAAATTCCCCCCTACCCAGGGGACAGGACTGTGCAGAGTGGGGGTGTGCATCCCAGCAGGGAGCTGGGGTGGAGGAGGAGAGGCCTGAACCATCCTGGTCCCAAAGGATGCATCCCGAGGTGATGCAGCTCCCCAGCCCATCCCCAGCAGCTGAGACTGGGGCAACCTTGTCAAGTGGAAGGTGTCCCTGCCCGTGGCAAGGAGTTGGAGCTGGATGGTCTTTAAGGTCCCTTCCAACCCAAACCATTCAATGATCCTGTGACAGGAGAGGGGAAAGTAAAATCCATCCCAGGAGGATGGGAGACAGCAGAGCTCCTGCTCCTCTCCAGTGCCAGGGAAGAGCAGGCTGGGATGACCTCTTGGCCACCCAGAGGTGACCCTTCCTCCTGTCCCCACTGCTCAGGACCTGCACAAGATCAAGGCGTGCCAGCTGGCGCAGTACAAGGAGCTGACAGCACAGAAACTCTCCGAGTCAGACAAGCTGCTCTACGTGCTGGACGGGGACGCGGCCGTGGCCCGGCACATGAAGCACCCCCAGGGGGACATGATCACAGAAGAGTGAGTGCCACGGGGACACTGTCCCCAGAGCCCTTGGGCGAGGGGGAGGCCTCTCCAGGGGCTCTGCTCAGCTGCTGCCTGCAGTGGGGGGGTCACCAGGGGCTCCTCTGATCCCAACTCCCATGAGGGTGTGTGACCCACGCCATCCTGGGCACGGGGAGTGTGACATGATGGCAATGTGGCACCTGCCCACTGTGCCCCACACTGTGCCCCAGGTCCAGCCTGCCCTGAGCTCACAGCCACAGGAGCAGCCCCTGGCAGAGGGCACAGCACAGCTGCTGCCAGCCTGCCTGGGCTCTCCCCTAAGCACAGCCCGCCATCCACGGGGCCTGGAGAGGATCAGCTACACCCACCAATGCTGGTGCCAGCCATGCCCACATCCTGCATGCCACCCTCACCTCTCCCTTCCCACAGCATCCGGCAGCTGAAGGAGCGCGTGGCAAACCTGCGTGTGAAACACGAGCAGATCTACAACTTCCCCCTGCAGCACATCGAGCCCCAGGTCAACTGGTCAACAGTGATCGAGGAGAAACAGGTACCAAGGGGCCAACAGTGTCATTGCCTGGCCAGCAGCACCAGCTGGGCAGGGACTCCTGCAGCTCCCCATGGAGAACCTGGCTCCAGGAAAACTTCTGGGCAGCTCCATAGTGGGAGCTGCTCCATAGTGGGAGCTGCAAACAGCTGGGTGGCACGGGAGGGGCAGAGCTGGTGGGACAAGGCTGGCTGCTGTGGCACCAGGAGTCAGTGCTCGAGGTGACACCGCTCCTGGCCTCAGCATCCCCAGTCACCACCTGCTTTAGGCTCTAGTCCACAGCCTTTATTTTTCATTTTATCCCACTCCCTGCACTCTTCCAGCCAGAGAAGGGTTTAACCCCCCAAACTGGTTTTCCCATGGCTGCCCTCCAGCACAGCTGATTTCACCCACACGCTCCTGGGGCATCCATACACTGCAGCCACTGGAGCCCACCCACGCCCAGCTCCGGCCACCTCCAAGAGGAGCTTCCTAGCTCTTGGCAGCCTCCCCCCATTCCCCCATTGCTAACCCCACCTCCTGTGCCCCCCAGGATGCACTGAGCAGCAAAGGCTTTGGGACTGACCTGCCGCTGGTCAACAGCCAAGTAGAAGAGCACAACATCTTCCACAACGAGGTCATGGCCATCGGGCCACACATCGTCAAGGAAGGAAGCAAGGTCAGCTCTCCTGCCCCTCTCCCTGCTGCCCTGCAGGGTCAGCCCTGCCCTGAGCCCTGGATGAAGGGCAGGGTGTCCTTGTCCCACCATCCAAGGTGCTACAGCCTGGGGCAGGTTTGGGTGGGTGCCCAGATCCGTTCCCAGCCTGAGAGCACAGCATCACACACCAGCTCTGGCTTTGCAATGAGGCAAATCCCATAAACCACATCCCCCTCCAGCCTAAACCCACATCCCTGTGCACCCTCGAGCCCCTGTCAGAGCACTGCTCTCCAGCCACCTCTCCTAACCCTTGCCTTGCTCCTCCTCCAGGAAAACATGAGCGACTTCCAAACCAAATACCAGAAGCTGCTGGTAAGAGCCCCTGGGATCCTGGGGCAGAGCCCTCCTGGAGGGGTCCCTGGTTGGGGACACAGAGAGGAGCTTTGGGCTGAGCTGTCCCTGTGCCCCTCCGCAGGCCGGCTCCCAGCAGCGGCAGCAGGACCTGAACTCGCTGCAGGATTACATGCAGCGCTGCACCAACAAGCTCTACTGGCTGGATCAGCAGGCCAAGGACAGGACCCATTACGACTGGAGCGACCAAAACTTGGACTACCCCAGCCGGCGCCGCCAGTACGAGGTCGGTGTGCTCCCCACAGCCGGGCCCTGCTCCGGCTGCTGCTGGGCACAGGGAGCTGGGCACGGCGCCAGGGCAGCTGCATGGGGGCAGGAAATGGTCCCTCTCCCGTGCCCCAGTCTCTGCCAACCTATTGTGAAGGGCTTTGAGATGTGCAGCTGATTGTACAGGGATAGTGGGGTTAATCCTTACCTCTGCCAAAGATAATGTGATGTGGAAGTGTCCCCACGACAGGGACAGCTCCCTCACCCTCCTGTTCTTCATCCCAGTGCTGGCTTGGCAGCACTCACATCTTTAGCAACATCTGCAAGGGAAGGAAAAGTGAAAGCTGCAGTGGGGAACAGCACACTGTGTTGTGGAGCTGCTCAGCCCCAGACTGCAGGCAGGGTCCCCTCTGTTTCGTGGGAATCAATGTCTCACCTCTCTCCATCCAGAACTTCATCCATCGGAAGCTGGAGGAGAAGGAGGAGGCCATCAACAAGCTGCACGCTGATGGGGATCAGCTGCTGGCCCAGAACCACCCTGGGAAGAATGCCATCGAGGTGAGCACCAGGGATGGGTCCCAGCCCCCCTGGAGCATGGGCAACTCACCCAGCCCTTCTCCAGAGTGGGACCCAGTGCCAACACCACTCGTGACCTTAGTTCCTGAGATGCCAAGGGGGGAAAAGCCTCCTTCACTTGCAGATGTGTAAACACCACAGGAGGAGGAAAGATAAACCTAAGGAGCTCTTCCCATCTTCCTCATTCCTGTGGCAATTACCCTGTGCCCACCTAGAGAGGATAAACTATGGTGGAACTCTCCCCTGTTTGGTGGGAGGATGGACACAAGGATGTGCCATGGGATCATCCCAGCCTTGGGTATTCCCATCCTGGGCTCCCCCTGAGAGCATCTGGGTGGCTCCAGAGGCAGCCAAAGAGCTGCTCACTCAGGATGCAGCTGGGGCAGTTCAGGCTTCCCCTGCCACGGGGGTCCTGCTGATGTCCCCTGCACCCCTGTGTTGCAGGCTCACATTGAGGCCGTGCACGCTGACTGGAAGGAGTACCTGAACCTGCTGATCTGCGAGGAGAGCCACCTGAAGTTCATGGAGGACTTCCACAAGGTACCACATCCCCGGGGGCAGTGACTTGGAGCCCAGAGAGCAGGTGCTGGGATGCAGGAGATCCTAGAATATAAAAATTCCTGCTACTCTGGAAACTGGGTAGAAGAGATGGAGTGCTCTAAACTCAGGATTTTTAAGGCCAGGAGAGCTGAGAGAACACAAGTCATAATTGCTCAGGCACCAAAGGCAAGTGATTGCTTAGCCAAAGCATGACTTGCAGAAAGCTTCTGCTCCAGCAGAAGTGTCATGAGCCACAGTCAGTATCAGCTTCCTTGTCCCCAGGACAGCAGAGATCCCTCACCCCCTAACAGGGCACGGGGAGAGCTTGCATGCTCCTCTGGGAAGCAGAACAGGTCCATGTAGGAAGTCCCAGCTGCCCCGGGGAGCCGGGCACAGGGGCTGAGTGTCCCAGCTGAGCTGGGCAGACAGATGTCTGCTGGATAAATGGCATCTGACAGCCAGGGAGGCTCTGCAGGGGAGCAGGTCGGGCTGCATTCCTCTCCCACAGCCTGGGCGTGTTCACCACCCGATGAGTCTCCTGCCAAAGCTCAGCTGTGGTGCCCAGCCCAGGCAGTGCCTTCCTTTTGTGGGGAGCTGCCAGAACAGCTGCCCCAGGGGATGGTTTGTGTGTGGAAGGGCTTGGCTCTTCCTTCTGCTGGCGCTGGCAGTGGTGGCACCACACACCGTGGTGATGCTGTCCCAGTGAAACAAAAGTGAGGGCAGGGAAAGGTGGGACTTAACAGCTCTGTGTGGAATAAGCTGCTCCTTCCTGCTTGTTGTTTCCTTCAATCTGATGTCCTGAGCAAGGGAAATAGTGATCCCTGGCCTTTCTCCACATATTCTAGAGTTCAGATGCCCAGAGTAGCTCCTGGTGGCTGTGTGAAAACCATGCAGGCTCTGCTCCATGTTTCAGCAGGATCCTCTCTCACAAGAAACTTTCCCTCTCTGCAGTTTCAGAAGGACAGCAAGGATGCTCAGGAGCTTTTGAAGAAGGTGGATACAGACCTGGACCAAAAATTCAGCCCGGAGTTCAAGGACAGATACCAGCTGGAGTCCCTCCTCCGGGAGCTGGATGTGAGTCTGCAGGCAGCGCTGCAGGGCAGGCAGCAGCAGCAGCCACTGTGCCCCTGCACTGGCACAGGGATGTCCCTGCCCGTGTGGGCACCTGGCCCAGATTTCTCCGTGGGGAGCTGCTGCCTCTCTGTGCCTGGCCTTCCCCAGAGCTTCCTTCCCCCCTGGCTAGAGATTGCCTCTCCCCTAGCAACGTAATTGCTCACTGGGCTGGTTTTTATTTGTTCTCTCATTGAGTTAGCACTCGTTAGGGGTGGGAGCATAATTAGACCTGCTGCCAGAGGAGGTTGTGGAACTCGCTGTGCTGCCATGAGCTGGGCTGGAGATCACCCACTTGGGAAGGGCTGTGCTGGGCCTGAGCCCGAGCCTAAGCCTAAATCCAAGCCCAAATCCAAGCCCAAGCCCGAGCATGCTGCAGCAGGCCCAGCTGATGCAGGTGTCCTGGGATAGCTGACAGATCTTCCCAAGAGCTGTCCCCTCTCCTCCTGTATCCCCCTCAGCATCTCGGGATCTCCACCTTCAGGGCTAGAAACAGAGCAGCTGCTGGAGAGCCTTGTGACAGGGCTGGAATCAGAGCTGGGAGTGGGGCTGTGCACCAGCACACAGCCACGCCACTGTGGGCCGGGCACCAGGGAGCCCTGTCAGTGTCCGCTGCCATGGCACCCCCTGGCATGGTCCCAGCCCTCAGCCCGGCTGTAAAAGCAGGCAGGAGTGTGCAGGAGCACCTGGAACAGGCACACAGGGCTGCAGGAGGTGCCTGCAGCCACAGCCTCTGCTCCGGCTGCGTGGGAACGAGCTCTCCTCTGGCTGTGAGAGCCCAGCAGTTCGTTCATCCCGTTTTCCTACCGTTCCTTGTTGTTGCCCGTGCCAGGACCAGGAGAAGGCCCTGGAGAAGTACGAGGCCGTGGTGCAGTCGCTGCAGGAGCGCAGCCGGCAGGTGCTGCCGCTGCGCTACCGCCGGCAGCCGCCGCCGCAGCCCATCGCCGTGGAGGCGCTCTGCGAGTTCGAGGGCGAGCAGGTACGGGGGCACGGCACGGCACCGGGCAAGCAGCGGCTTTTCCCAAGCAGTGGGAACGAGGCAAAGGTCCCCAAAGGTGGGGAGAGCAGGTTTTGCAGCGGAGGAGCAGGAGGGGTCTGGGGGAAAGGCAGCCTCGCTGCCGCTCACACACCCGGGGGAGGTTGCGACAGCACAGCTCTGTCACATTCCCACGCTCCCTGAGCTGGTGTCCCGGCGTGTTCCTGACCAAAGGAACGCGCCACCGGCCGCTCCCAGCCCGCATCCCCCCATCCCCACCGGCTCGGGCTGAGGGCTCAGGGATGGGACAGCCGAGCCGGCAGCCACCGCGGGAGCGCCAGGGGTGGGACAGGGGCCAGCAGCTCCAGCTAACTCAGCTGCCTGCTTCTCCGGAAAGGAAAGGCAGGGCACAGCCCTGGAAACGCCTCCTCATCTCTGCCCGAGTGGGAATTCGCTTGCCGCGGCTGTCGCAAGAGGCACAGGCTGCGGGCAGGGAGGAGCAGGCACACGAGGTTCTGCAGGGGCAGGCTCCCGGAGGAGCCGGGAGCAGGGCTCGGGGCTGTGCCAGCCCTGCCCCGGCAGGTTCCGGCCGTGCTGCTGTGACCGCTTCTGTCCCCAGGGCCAGATCAGCCGCGGAGCCCACTACACCCTGCACAGGAACAGCGGCGACCTCTGGGAAGTGGCCGACAGCGCAGGAGACACCATCAGCGCCCCCGGGGTCTGCTTCATGATCCCCCCGCCCGACCCCGAAGCGATCGCCCTGGCAGAGCAGTACGTGCCAGCCCGGCCGGGACAGCCCCGCTGCCCCTGCCTGCCCCAGCCCCAGGCCCTGCACCCCCTCCGGCGCCCCAGCGATTCCCACAGTGAAGCTCTGCCTTCTCGAAGCCTCAGGCTTCCTCCCGAAGGATTCCTGCCCCTTCCTGCTTGCTCACAAGATCCCAGCTGGCAAAGGGGGCCGGCTCACGGCCACCCGGGTTCCCCCTGCTCCCCATTATGGCACGGGGAGCTGCCCGCCCCTCCCTCAGCCGGCAGGTTCCTGCCTGGCTGCCTCTCCCCTGTTCGAATGAAGACACTGCTCTACCCTAGCATGGGGTGAGGGTACTTTTTCCCCCTCCTGCTTCATGGCTGCCTCGAGGGAGCAGCCCCCAGAACCGCTCCAGAGCTGGAGCTCCTTCCTGGAGCAGCGCCAGGGTGATGGAGAGGCTCAGAGTCTGACTGACCTCCTGCTGTCCCGTTCTGCAGAATTGCCAAGCACTATGTGGCCGTGAAGGAGAAGACCAACAACTGCAAGAATGTTCTCCAGCAGCGCTATGAGGGGCTGAAGGCAGACAGCATTGGAGGTGTGGGGCTGGAGGGCAGCCTGGGGCACAAAAAGGCTTGAACTTGGGTGGTGGAACATCTTTTGGGGATGCTCCCAAAGGGTCCTGGGGACAACAGTGCTGGTTGGGTGGGGGGTGGAGCAGCCAGGCTGTGGTCACAGCAGGCCAGGCTCAGGGAGTGCAGCAGGATGAGGGTTTGGCACTCACCAGTGGGACTGAGCCCACACCCAGCTCCAACCAGCTTTAATCTGGTGTCCTCTTGTCCAGATGCTGCATCAGTTCGGGGTCGCCAGCTCCTGGCAGGGCTGGAGAAAGTCAACAGTGACCTGGACAAGCAGGAGAAAGCGATAACAGCAAACCTGCGGCCGCCGCTGGAGCAGAGCCGGGCGGTGCAGGACAGCACCGAGCGCTCCAAGGACCTCAAGGTGGGGCTGGGGGCTGAGGGACGGGGCTCCCAAAGGTCCCCAGTGGGGTTCTCTAAGCCGAGGGTGCTTAGGGTGCTCCCTGAGCCCTGGAAATGGCATGTGGAGGGATGCTCACAGCTTCTTCCAGTAGAGATGGGGAGCAGCCCTCTGAGCAGCCTCAGAAGCCAAAAACCTTTGCCTTGCTTCTGGCCCAGCTCAGTCAAATGGGAAAAAGGTGATGGCTGCAGGTGGTGGCTGTGAGGATGAGGAGGGAGCCCTCAGGTTTTGATCCTGCCCATCATCTGAGCACAGTTAACTTTGCCACCACTATCACCAGCTCAGAGAGGAACAGGAAAACCCTCGTGGTCCGAGGCAGTTTCTCCTTGTGGACCTGCTCCTCCAGGCTCCAGTGTATATTATATTATATTATATTATATTATATTATATTATATTATATTATATTATGCTATACTAAAAGAATAGAAGAAAGGATTTCATCAGAAGGCTAGGAAAGGAATGAATAATAAAAAACTCATGACAGAGAGTCCGACAAGCTGGCTGTGATTGGTCATTAAGTAAAACCAACTCACGTGAGACCAATCTAAGATGCACCTCTTGGTAAACCATCTCCAGACCACATGCCACAGCCATCACCGAGTTCTTGTTCGCATTCCTTTTCTCAGGCTTCTCAGGAGAAAAATCCTGGCAAAAGGATTTTTCAGAAAATATGACAGTGACAGGATTCTGCAGGAGGAGGGTGCAGGAGTGCTTAAACATCTTCCTTGTGTCCTTACAGAGTTGAGGTGGCCACAAACCTGGAGAGGAGCCTCCAGCAAGGCCGAGACCTGCTGTCAACCTATGAGAACAAGCTGGTCATAGATGACACGGTACCAGAGGACTTGAGGGTGGTGGACAGGAAGAAGGAAGAGCTGCTGGTGAGTTTCCTGCCCTGTTTGTGTGCTGCACGTGCAAAAACTTTCCAAAAGATGTGGTGATTCCTGCTCAACTCCTAAGCTTGGACCTGTTGGTGACAGGATGGGCTCCCCCAGCTGGGGGTGAGAACTCACCTTGACTGCAGTGATCCCCACCTGCTTCAGGCACAAACACCTCAAATCAAATCAAGTCAAGTCAAGTCAAATCAAATCAAATCAAATCAAATCAAATCAAATCAAATCAAATCAAATCAAACCAAATCAAATAAAATCAAATCCCACTTGAAGTCTTGTGATTTGATGAAAGGACTAATGCAGATGGATTCCCTCTCTACACTGCTCTTGTGAGACCCTCCCACAGCAGGGCTGTGTCCAGGCCTGGAGTCCTCAGCACAAGAAAGACGTGGACCTGTTGGAGCATGTCCAGGGAAAACACTCTCAGGGCTGGAGCCTCTCTGCTCTGGAGCCAGGCTGGGAGAGCTGGGGGTGCTCACCTGGAGGAGAGAAAGCTCCAGGAGTCCTTAGAGCCCCTTCCAGGGCCTAAAGGAGGCTTATAAAAAAGGGGGAGGGAGACTTTTTACATGGGCAGATACTGGCAGGACAAGAGGAATGACTTAAAACTAAAAGAGAAAATATTTAAATTACATATTAGGAAGAAATTCTGCTCTGTGAGGGTGGGCAGGCCCTGGCACAGGGTGCCCAGAGCAGCTGTGGCTGCCCCTGGATCCCTGGCAGTGCCCAAGGCCAGGCTGGGCAGGGCTTGGAGCAGCCTGGGGCAGTGGAAGGTGTCCCTGCCATGGCAGGGGTGGAATGAGATGAGCTTTAAGTTTTTTCCAAACTAAAACCTTCCGTGATTCTTAGAGAAGTGAAGGATAAAATGGTCTGGAAAAGCAGCTCAGTGGCCTGATACTGGAAAGATGGGCCTGGCAAGGCTTTGAGAACAGTTATTGCTTGGAAAAATTACCCAAACTGGCAATTCTGCCAGTATAGAAAGACCAAGAACTGGCTAGGCCAGAATTTTCTGTGCTCCTTCAGCTTTTGCATGAAACCCCAAGCTCAGACTAACACGGAAGAGCTTTCACTGCTCCTTCCACAGCTGCTGCACTGGCAAGAACAGGATCTAAGCCTTGCATGAAGAGCAGCAGCTATTCTGCACTTTGCATAGTTATTTTTAAAGGTCGAGGGGGAGTAAGAGGTAGCTTTTCTCCCTGTCAGGTTTACCAGGTGGTTCTGCTCACCATGTAAGCCTTGAGCTTGTTTCTTTCCACAACTGGTGGCACTGCTGCAGCTCAGGCCTGCACTCCAGTGCAGTTGCTGGAGTCAATGTGGGTGACAGCAGTGTGAAACCCCAGAGAATCACCCTCTCCTGCTTCTTCCCCCACAGGCCATGGGCAGCGAGCTCCAGTCCAAGAAGTTCCTGCTCAGTGAAGCCGAGCAGAACCTGCAGAGGACCAAGACGTGCTCCAACACCCTGGCCAGCAAGTTCCAGGAGCACTGCCCTGACATCGAGCGCCAGGAGGCAGAGCTCTACAAGCTCAACCAGCGCTTCAACAACCTCAGCAAGCAGATCGACCACAGGTGAGGGCACAGGCAGCAGAGCAGGCATGGCTGCTGTGGAGCTGGAGGAGGCACACCATGGTCCTGGGAAGGAGGAGCTGCAGAAGGGCTTCCAGGGAGGCCCGAGGAGGAAGAGGGAGAGGTTGCTGGCATGTGCTGGCTGGGTAGAGCTGGGAAAACAAGGCTTAGTTCTCTTGCAGAAGAGGTGCCAAGAGAACAACCTGGCTCAAATCCATGTCTTTGGGGAGCAGGGGAGGCGGGATGGGTTAGGAGGTGTCTGCAGCAGGCGCAGGAGATGGGACAGAACTGAAGCTGAGCTGGTTTCCCCCACAGAACGCAAACCCTGCAGAAAGCAAAAAGTGCCTACTCCAACTACCGTGCCAACTATGACAAGGTGAACCAGTTCCTGTGCAACATCCCCAACTATGAGCCCCAGGAGACTGACAACATCCAGCAAGTGGAGATGAAGCTCAAGAGCCAAGCGGTAATTCCCAGAGATCCACAGGGAGAAAAGAGGGAACAAGACTAACAGAAACAGAGCTTAGATAGCTCCTGAACATCAAATAGAAAAATATAAATGTTTATTAGATTTATTCTTGGGCTCTAAGGTCCCGTGGTCCTCTTGTGCCTTGTTCACACAAAGCAGGGCTGCTCAAGGTGGTTGGAATTCTCAGGGTTGTGATTTTAATGGTAACTCCCAAAAAGGCTGAAGGATGCATTTGGATGTTGTGTTGCCTCTGACCTGTATCTCTGTGTACCCAGGCACTGCTCAGTGACATTGCAAGCAAGGAACAGGAGGTGCAGAAGGTCTCTGCCACAGCTCAGCAGTACCAGCAGGCAGTGAAGGTAAGGGCTGAAATTCTGCCTGTGAGAGAACAGAGAAACACAGTGTTTGGGTTGGAAGAGACCCTACAGCCCATCTCATTCCACCCCCTGCCATGGACAGCAACACCTCCTGTTATTCCAAGCACCATCCAACCTGGCCTTGGGCACTGCCAGGGATCCAGGGGCAGCCACAGCTGCTCTGGGCACCCTGTGCCAGGGCCTGCCCACCCTCCCAGGGAACAATTCCTTCCCAATATCCCATCCAGCCCTGCCCTCTGGCAGTGGGAGCCATTCCCTGTGTCCTGTCCCTCCATGCCTTGTCCCCAGTCCCTCTGCAGCTCTCCTGGAGCCCCTTTAGGCCCTGGCAGGGGCTCTGAGGTGTCCCTGGAGCCTTCTCCTCTGCAGGTGAGCACCCCCAGCTCTGCCAGCCTGGCTCCAGAGCAGAGGGTGGGGTTTTGTGGCCTTCCCAAAAGACGGGTCAAGGGGTGAAGTTGTTAAAGCCAGGGCAGCTTAGGAGGAGCCCGTGTGTGAAGGGGATGCAGCAGTTTCACATTTCTGCTGGGAATGTCTTGGCACAGGACTACGAGTTGGAGGCTGAGAAGCTGCGGTCCATCCTGGACCTGGAGAACGGCCGGAATGGCTACACCAGCAAGAAGCCCAGGCTGCAGTCCCCAGCTGCCAAAGTGAAGGAGGAGGTAAGCAAGGGCTGGCCACAGGAGAGCCAAAGCAGAGGGCAGCTCACAGGACCACTGGGGGTCTGCAAACATCTACACTTACTGTCAGGACCTCGGTCCCACAGGGGACCACAGGGAAGGACAGGGAATCAGGAGGAAGGGATTTTTCATCATTTTTTTGAACTGGACTGGCCAGAATGAGGGAGGAAAAACTCTGGATTTAACACTTTTGGAAGGGAAAAATGAGGAAAAAAGCCAAAAACGTGGAAGTTTTTCTCTTCTCTAGATTTTTAGAGAGATTTCACCACCAAAGATAGAAATACTTGCAGTGAGATGAGGCCACAAGCTACTTACTTATGCAAGATCTGTTTGCTACCTGCCTCAAACTCACCCTGCCTATAGAGGCAGGCAAAAGTTCACCTGGTTCTTCCTCACCTGGTTCTAACTGCACCTGGTTTTGCTTATCTTGAGTAGAAAAAAACCACAGTATGACCATGAGTGTGTCTGTGTATGAGAATCCTTCTCCCTCTCCCAAAACTCAACAGTTCACTGCTGCAGGTTTTTAGAGGAGCACCCAGAGCTACCAGTTTAGGGCCTGTTGTTTCTGCCCTTCTCAAGCTCTTCCCAACACATTTTTGCTCTGCAGGAAGCTGTTCTGGCAGCCAAATACACAGAAGTGAATGCTGTGAACAAGCAGAGGCTGCAGAACCTGGAGTTTGCCCAGAGCCTCCTGCGACAGGTGAGTGATCACAGGAGCAAGGTGATGCTGAAGGGACACAGGTAGGACCCAAGGACACGTGGGAACAAGTCTAGTTGGTGTCTTATCCCCCTAAATCATTAATCAGCAGACACTTAAATCACACAGACTACCCCCAGTCCCATTGCCCACTCATCCTAGGAAGCTCCACATAGTTTTTAACTTTCTTTGACATTCTGTGGCAGAATTAGTGTCCCTTGTGGCTCAGAGCTTTGTTCTGACAGCAGCAGGCATTGCAGAAAGGATTTCTCAGGCTGGGAACCTGCAGAAGTACATTTGCAAATGCTCCCTGCTCAGAATTTGCCACAGCTCAGCTCCCTCCTGTTGCTTTGTTGGAGGCACCAATCTCCTGGCCTGGGTCAGGAAGAGTGGCCAGCAGGACCAGGGCAGTGATTGTCCCTCTGGGCTGGCCCTGCTGAGACACCTTGAGTTCTGTGTCCAGTTCTGGGCTCGTTGTGACAAGAAGGACACTGAGGGGCTGGACGGGATCCAGGGAAGGGAACAGAGCTGGGAAGGGTCAGGAGCACCAGGAGGGACTGAGGAGGTGGAAAGGGGCTCAGCCTGGAGAAAAGGAGGCTCAGGGGGGACCTTGTGGCTCTGCACAACTCCTGACAGGAGGGGACAGCCGGGGGGGTCAGGCTTTGCTCCGGGGAACAGGGACAGGAGGAGAGGGAGACCCTCAAGTGCCAGGGGAGGGTCAGGTTAAACATCAGGAGAAATTTCTTCACTGAAAGGGTGGTCAGGCTGCCCAGGGAGGTGGTGGATGTGTTCCACTATTCCTGGAGGTCTCCGAGGAATGACTGGATATAACACTCTGTGCTCTGGGCTGGGTGGCAAGATGGGGATCAGTCACAAGGATCAGTCACAGGTTGGACTCGATGATCTTGGAGGTTTTTTCCAACCTAAATGATTCTGTGATGCTGTGATGATAAGCACCAAAAGTGTGATTAACTGGATTTTTTTTCACTAATTTTTTTTGATCCTTTTGCCAACAACAGCAGCCAGAGATTCAGGTGACACAAGACTTTGCCCAGACCAAAAAGTCTGTAAGGCCTGTGGAAGAAGTCTGGAAGTTGAAGAAGGAGCTCGAGGACGAGACTCAGCGTCGGCAACAGCTCGAGGCAGAGATTGAAGCCATTCAGAACAACATTGTCCACCTGCAAAATCAGAAGCCCCAAGAAACTGTGGTGAAGAAAGAACTGCTGAAGAAGGTGCCTGACCCCCAGCTGGAAGAGAGTTTCCACAGACTGCAGCAAAACCTGGCAGAGGAGCAGCGCAAGAACCAGGCGCTCCAGGATGAGCTGGAGGCTCTTAAGATCCGGCTGCGAGTCCTGGAGCACGAGAAGAGGGAAGGAGGGCAGGAGTACATAGTGAAAGAGGTGCTGAGGATTGAACAAGATAAGGCTCAAGCTGCTGAAATCCTGAAGCTCAAAGAGGAACTGGAAGAGCTCAGGAGGCAGGAAGGGACCAGGGAGAGTGAAGTCATCCTCTTACGCCAACAAATTGCTGTGCTGTCCAGCGAGAAGAACAAAGAGCAGGAGAAGGTGACGGAGAAGGAGGTGCTGAAGCTGCAGAACGATCCCCAGCTGGAGATGGAATTCCGGATGTTGCAGGAGACCAAGGAGAGGGAAAGCGCCCTTCGGCAGAAGCACGAGGAAGAGCTCAGCTTCCTCCAGGAAAAGCTCAAGCGTCTGGAGAAGGAACGGGCCATCGCCGAAGGCAAAATCACCGTCAAGGAGGTGCTGAAGGTGGAGAAAGATTTGGCCATTGAGAGGGAGGTGAACGAGCTCCGGCGCCAGTACGAAGATGAGAAGTCCAAGGGCCGTTCCAATGAGCGGGAAAAGGCTGAGCTGCTCAGGAAAATCCAGCTGCTGGAGGAGGAGAACTCCAAGGTGGTTGTTCAGGAGAAAGTGCGTGAGATTGTGCGCCCAGACCCCAAGGCTGAGAATGAAGTTGCCAACCTTCGCTTGGAGCTGGTAGAGCAGGAGAGGAGGTACCGCGGTGGGGACGAACAGCTGAAGAGCTGCCAGAGCGAACTGGCTGCTCTCAAGAACAGAGGGCCCCTGGTAGAAGTCAAAGAAGTCATTAAGGAGGTCATTAAGTACAAGAATGATCCAGAAACCGAAAAGGAGCTACAGCGACTCCGGGAGGAGATAATAGAGAGGACCGGAGCTATCGAAAGAGCTGACCTGGAGATCTACCAGCTGAAACAAGAGATACAAGCGTTGAAAGACACCAAACCTCAAGTGCAAATGAAGGAAGTTGTTCAAGAAATCCTCCAGTTTCGGGAAGACCCCAAGACTAGAGAGGAGGTAGAGTCGCTGCGAGTGCAGCTGGCAGACGAACAAATGAAGCACATTGACCTGGAGAGGGAACGACTTCTCCAAGAAGAAAAAGTAAGACTGAAGGAGGAAGAACTTTCCCAGGTGAAAGAAAAGGTGGTCCAACAGGAAGTAGTGAAGTATGAGCAGGATCCTGCCTTGAAAGCTGAGGTGAACTCCTTCTCCCAGAGCATCGAGAGCGAACTGAAGCAGATCGACGGGCTCCGTGAGGAGCTGCGCAAGCTGCAGAGGAGACGCTCCGAGCTGGAGCGGCAGCTCGAGGAGCTGGAGAAGGAGAGACAGGCCCGCAGGGAGGCCGAGCTGGAGGTGCAAAGGCTCAGGATCCGGCTGAACGAGCTGGAAGAACAGGAAAGAGAAACGACAGAACGAGTGACTGTGAAACAGAAAGTGATCCTTCAGCAAGATCCCCAGCAGGAGAAGGAGCACTCCCTCCTCAAGCTGGAGTTAGAAGAAGAGAAGCACCGAAGACAAGTCCTGCAAACCGAGCTAGAAGCCCTGAGAAAGAAGCTCCTTTCTTTGGAGAAGATGGAGGTCAAGGAGAAAGTGGTCTTTTCAGAGAGTGTCCAAGTGGACAAAGGAGACACGGAGTATGAGATTCAAAAGCTGAAGAGCAACCTGGAGGAAGAAAGTAGGCGCAAGAGGGAGCTGGATGCAGATCTCAACCGCCTGGAAACCAGGCTGTCCGAGGTGGAATTCAACAACTCCAAGTCATCAAAGGAGCTAGACTTGTTAAGGGAGGAAAACCACAAGCTCCACCTTGAGAAACAGAACCTACTGATGGAAACAAGAAGACTGCAGTCAGAGATTGAACTCACCGCAACAGAAGCTCAGGATTTGAGAAACATGACCCACGTGGACAGTGGAATAAACCTGGACTCCAGGTTCCAAGCTTTGGAAAGAGAGTTAGAGGATCTGAAGCAGTTATCCAGAGAAAAAGATGCAGAGATTGAGCAGCTCCAGAATCGCCTGAAGACAGTGGCTATCAAGAGGGAGCAACGAGAGAACCACCTGAGGCGCTCCATCGTGGTCATTGACCCCGACACAGGAAAAGAGATGTCTCCAGAGGAAGCTCACGTGTTTGGCCTCATCGAATGGAGCCTGTTTGTCAAACTGAAGAGCCAGGAATGTGACTGGGAGGAGATCTCAATAAAAGGTCCCAACGGGGAGTCGTCTGTGATCCTCGACAGGAAGTCTGGCAGGGAGTTCTCCATCGAGGATGCCCTGAAGAGCGGGAGGCTCACCACGGCCCAGTACGACAGTTACCTCAACAAGGAGATGTCCATCCAGGAGCTGGCAGTCTTGGTGTCCGGAAGCAATTACACAGCGCTCGCTCCACTTTAGAAACTTCACTTCAAGAGCAGCCAGTCAGAGCTGCAGCACCTTGCAGACATCCAGATCACTGCAAAGCCTCGCCCTCCTTCGCGTCTTCCCAACTGCTACAGCCTCTGCCCCGGCCATGCTACGCAGCCACTCCACTTGTTGTCACACTGCAGTAAACACCACCAGTAGTGGAAAGTATCTGCCAAACTCCTGAAACCCCTCTTCCTCCCTGCCTACCAGAAAACAAGAGAAAGCCTTAGGACAGTGAAGTGCCTCAAGTCCAACAGACTCAGTAGAACCTGCAGTTTCCTCAACTCCTACTCACATAGTCGTGTACGAAGCCGTGTCAGGAGAGAGACTGAAGGTCCAGGTGACTCTGAGGTGACCAGCACGAGCTGGTTACATCAGCTGCATGTTGATAAGCCAGACAGTCCCACCGCGGACAACTGACTCAATGACGGGCTCGTCCTCTGAGAAAGCCAGCTCTGTGGAAACCAAGGTTTCAGCCCAGAATCACCACGTCAACACTCACCACCACCATTTGTTCACCTCTGTGCCTGTGCTGCTGGGGAAGAATGAAGGTGTACTTTGATGGCACCAGCCATTGATCCAGAAGGAGCATTCACACACCCCAGAGGTCAAGGAAAAGGACCTGAAGAGATGGCAGAACCACCAGACACAAGGGGTTGTGCGCAGCATGCGAGGGAACCCAATGCAGAGAGCCTCCCACAGGCAGCTCCTTCACTCGTGGTTAAAAGCTGTTAGTGCTGGTGTTTTCCTGGATGGAGTTACATGCAGCTACATGTTTCATTTACTTGTGTAAGGGAATGGGGAATAGAGGGGAATTCTATTTATAGTACAAAATAAAAATGCAGTGGTTCCAATTAGAAGGTGTTTGGTTTTCATTAATTATGGCAGCCTCCTGATCTTTGGCTGTACAAGAAGTTGCCATTTAGGAATTAAAACAGCAAGATTATTCATTTTAGCTGTTGGCACTTTTCCAAGGGGAAACTGCTGGAGCAGCACTTGAGCTGGGACTAATGAGCAGCATTAGATGGGAGTGAAGTGCACTAAAGAATGGGACTGACTGCAGAACAGTGGATTACACTGGGATGGTACCTTTCAGAGGCCATTCACTTCCCTTTGCCCAAATTTCAGCTAATAGCCAAACCCTGGGGAGCTCTGATGTCCACAAAAGCAGTCATAATCATTCCCTGCTTATCCCTCCTGGCTCTGGGGATTTACACCACTATTTTACCTTTGTGAATGAAGGGATCAGGGAGGATCTCACTGGTCCTGCAGGGTCTGAGCCCCACATGTCCTTTCCAGCAGAGGCCAACTTCAACCATTAGGAGCACAGAGAATGAAAAGAAACATTCCTACCCCTGCAACAGCTGTAACACAGCTGCCATTCACTCACCAAACAGGAGACTTTAAAACAGTCAATAATTCATTACTCACTCGAGACACAGATGAGCATCCAAGCTGCAACAGAAATTCTTGGAAACAAAGTCAGGGAACTAGAGGTAAGGAGATTGGGGGAAAAAAGCGTTTTGGAAAGTTTGAAACAATTTATTGAGTTGTTCTGTACAAGATTAACATTTTTCATACCACCCCCACCATCTTCAGCAAGACAGTGCCAACACACATAAAAAAAAATGGAATAGTAAACTGCAGCTCTTACAGCCAAAAGGAACTGCCATCCCCAGGTAAGTGCCATGGGAGCCTATCCCTCCCCATTCCATCCTGGAAGCGCTGCCAGTTGCCTCACCAAGGCAGAGGTGCCAGCCTGGCTCCCCATCAGCTGCTCTGCGTGGGCCTGCCTTGCTGCTCCACACCACTCACTCATTCATTATAGCATGTAAAGAAAAAATATCCCACAGAATTTCCACCACATAAACGTTTCCCTGAGGCAAGAGGCTTCGCTAAATTCCTAGAGGAGGGATTCTGCTCCGGCCGCGCGCGCAGGCCGCCCAGCAGAAGCATTCAAGTGAAAGCAGAGAGGGAGGAGAACCAGTACCTCGAGTCACTCACTGAGACCCCCTATCCTGCCAGGTGTCCCAAGCTTTCAGCTCTCAGGGGAAGGTGCCAAGCACCCCTCAGGGTGAGGCCTTCAACAGGAGCCACACGACATCAGAGTCCACCAAGAAATGCTGTGCTTCATTTACCCACACGAGTTCTGTCTTTGGCTCTTCTGCTACAACCTAGGTATTTTCTGTAAACAGACTTGAAATCTGAGCTGTATCCCTTCATGTGAAATACAATCAACTCACTGATCTTGGGCAGTTATGTATCAGCTCAAATTGAAAACAGTCTTTCTCAGATCTTAAAAAAAAAACAGAGGAAACTAAAGCAGACATTTGCTGGTATCCTGGGGTCAGCATCCTTCCCCAAAGCTCAAGGAGGAAGCTACAAGCTTTTCCTTGGAACACCAGTAAATTCTACATGGATCAGCACTACCCCTGCACAACTGGGACATGGCTGGGGCGGCCTGAGAGAAGACAGACTGGGCAGAGCAGGAAACCAAACCTCAGAAAGCTCAGGTGGAGCTTCAGCCTGCCCTTAGCCTGAAAGGGAGTGCACAGGGGGAGTATTTAGCTCTGAAATTAAAAAAAATGAACAAGAAAAGACACCCCCCCAACTGTAGATGGTCCCTGTTCCTGCAGCTGTGCTGAGCACATGATCCTGGTGCAGGTACCATTGAGGGGAGCAATGTTTTTCTCTGGAATTCATTTGACAGGTCGTGACCTTGGTTCATCTCACTCAATTCCTCTGCCCACCAAATTGATCCTAACTCACAACCCTAGGAAAGAATGGCTTTAGGGGAGGGCCTGGAACCCACCTGCACATACTGGGATGAGAACTGGTGCTCCTGCTGGATTTGGGACTGTGCTCAGTCACCAGGTCACCACTGAAGTCCAGACAGTGCAGCTTTTTTTTTTTTTTTTCTGATGTGCAACCATAAAAAGCTCTATTAAATAAACCAGAATACATTTTAAATACAGAAAGATTAAAAAAGGGTTGAGGAGCACACAAAATAGGGCTGAAATGTGTGTCACTAGTCCATTCTTGCTCCACCATAAAAGGCACTGGAATTATGTCTTCCGATCCATGTGACATGCTAAGAAGTGTCCCATTCAATCCAATGCATTCGATGGCAATGAGGATAAAACTGAGCAGGAAAAAAGCATCCCTTTGGAGGGAAAAAAATCCAAAAACTCAAAAGAAGTACAATTCTAAAAGTCGATGACTGCATCTAAAAAGGTCTTTAGTCTCTAGAGAGTCTTCCTTCTCCTCCAGAGGGGAACATCAGGTGGTTCCTCAGATTCACCACACAGGAAATGTTAAATCCTCCAATTAAGTGTAGCACAGTTTTATAGTACAATTGGAAAGTTACTCAAATGTCTTAAAGAAAGCACTGGCAGTGCTAGAATTATCCATGTAAATCCAAAGCAGAAGAAAGAAGCACCTTTCATACCCTCCACAGGGAGACCAAGGAGGTAACTGGACTTGGAGGTACTTGGCAGCTACAGACACAGGTGGGTGGGAATCCTGCAGGACCACCCGAGCCTCCCTGCGAGTTCCAGCTCCTGCCAGTGCCAGGGAATGCAGGAAGGGCAGCAGCAATAAACAGTGCTACAAAAGGCTCCTCTCATCAGGGCATGGCTCCAGCTGGCCCCATGTGGGGGCTCAGCTCTGAAAGCCTCTGAGCAGACGCCCCAATGAGTTCCTTGTTGCAGATCAGTCTCTCCAGTTGTCATAAAAAAAAGAAATAGGAAAAAAAAAAGAAATCAAAAGACACAGCTGGTATCCAAAGTCCATGACCTGTTCCTCTGGGTTTTATCCTATGGGTGCTGGAGCTCCCCTCCTTGCAGGCGTCACAACTTGCGCTGCTGTGCATTGGACCCTTTGCCGTGAAGCTGAGAAGCATCTGAAAGAAAATAAAACAGCTGGGAAGGGGGCTCAGCACCCCCTGAAGGGCAGCTGGGACAGCCAGGCCTCTGCACAGAGGGAAAGACCTACTCTTCCTTCCCAGCACCAAGGGATCAAGAAGAAGAGGATGTGCTTGGAGACATCTCTCTGCTGGGAGCAGCCCAGCCCCTGAGGAAGGGACAAGGGAAGCACTGAGGGTCCCGGGGGGCCCCCAGCAGAAGCCCCATGGCACAATTCCAGCTGCTAGGGAACTCCTTAGCCTGTGCCCTTCTCTAAATCCACCCTGCCACATCTCCCCCTCCAGGAATCCCAAAATACACGCTGCAGTTGCCTTGCACCTGCAGGTGGTTGGAAGTAACCTGCTGTACATTTTTGCTGTTGTAATCACAGAATCACTGAGGTTGGAAAAGGCCTCCAAGACCAGGGAGTCCAACCTGTGACCCATCCCCAGCTTGTCCCCAGCCCAGAGCACTGTGTGCCACATCCAGGCCTTCCTTGGACACTTTCAGGGATGGAGACTACAAACCTCCCTGGACAGCCCCTGTCAATGCCTGACCACCATTTTCATAAAGAAACTCCTCCTGATACCCAACCTGAACTTCCCCCTGTCTCCTCTTGTCCTGTCACTGGTTTTGTGGGAGAAGAAGCAAACCCCTCACCTAGAAACTCCTTTCAGGTAGGGCTTTAGGTGCTTTATTGTTTATTTTTTAAAGTTATTTAATTAGGTGCTTTTTAAACGAAGGCTTTAGGCACCCACTGATAGCAACAGGATCCGTAGGAATCTCACCACTGATGGAATAGAACAGAATGGATGTGGAGGACAAGAAAAAATGCACTGAAGAGAGAAAAGGAAGGAAATTTAAAGACGCAAAAGTTTTCCAGGAGCAATCAAAACCACTTCAGACTGTGATGAACAAATGGAAGTACTGAGACGTGCAGCTAAGCAGCAGTGGCACCCAGCAATGCAGCAGCAGCTTCTCCTCCAGGCCAAGAACAGCTCCTTTGCATGCAAGAGCTCAGCTCAGCACATCCCATTTCCACATTCCCAGCCCCAGCACAAGGAACCTCCACCAGCAACACAAGCACCAACCACACACAGACAAGAACTGGATGCTCTTTGCTCACAGGCTCTTGGATGAATGTGGATATAAAAGCACTTTTAAATAAAAGGCATCAACATTCCCTTGCATTTGCAGCAACCTCCCACACACCTGGCAGTGCTCACACAATGAGCAATGCAGCTGTGTGCAGGTGTTGGCACAGCCAAACACAGCTCGTGCCACAAAACACAGGAATTCATTTTAAGGTTATGGGAGTCACTTAAATATCTACTGTGTTCTCCTCCAAAACACCAGAATTGGGAATGTTCCAAGAGATGGCAGCACCAGGCTCCATCCTCAATCTTTAAGTGAAAACACCAAGTGAGAAAGCAGGTCCTTGCTGAAGCTGGATCCATGGTCAATTTTCCTTCACTTATTCCCAGTGGTCTTTTGTCTTCTGGCCCTGCATCCTGCTGAAGAGTTCATCAAAAAATTCTTCTGTTATAAGCCCTATGAACAAAGTGATCACTCAGAATTCCCTCAACTAAAGGGACAAAGAGCTGGTCCTCAGTGACATGGAATACATTCCACAAGCAGGTGCAATCTCTGATGTCATTCCAGGAAGTGTGGTTTACACACAGGAAGGGTCTGTCCCACCAGTGATCACTGCCAGGACCTTCTTCAGCTCTACCACACCAGCGTGGCACCACCCACATCAAACTTCAGCAAAGGAAACAAACCAAACCAATTCTTGGCATTTTCATGAGTGCACAATGCACTCTTCCTTCTGAAGCAAACAAGCACCGTGCTCAGCAGCCAAGGGCCTTTTGTTCCATGACTCCTCCAGGCCACATGGTTACCCATGCACACAGCCACAGGACCAGGCCAGCACTCCTAAATCAGGCTCACTTAGC